AACTGAAAACTAATTAAAATCAAAAGCAATTAGTTTAATTTAGTTTAAGGAGCTGTTGAACCAATTGGTTCGGTTCATTTTACGATTTTATCCCCAAAAAATTGAATCGAACCGAACCGATTCACTTTGATTTTATTTATTTAATATATATATGTATATATATAATTTTTTTACCATTTTTCATAAAGGTGTATTAATTTGTGCTTAGTTTCAATTTCTCTCTTAGAATGTATAAATTTGATACCAAAACTAAATCTCATGTTTGATTTTGTTCTCTCTAATTTTTGTTGTGTCTTGTTTTTGTTTTGAAAAAAAAAAAAAGCAATACCAATCAAGTCAACTAAAGCAAAACGACTTAATTATGTCTGGCTTGGTTTGGTTTTTTGGCACAAAAGACAAATTGATTATGTCCAAACAAATTCAAAACCAATATATTTGATTTGGTTTGGATAATATATAAAACTGAACCAAACTGATCAGATGAACAACCTTATGACCTACCAAACCAAAATGAGAGAATCTCACAACCAAGCGACCTTACTTTAAATGAACCATACTTGTACTAGGTTGTCATTTAGCTGTGCTAAAAAAGAATCGATTCATTCATCCCCCTCCACCCCAGACAAAGGCAAAGATACAGAATGGGGATATTTTTTTTTGGTAATTTATTAACAATAGAGCCTTGTAATAATAAGTTTTTGCAATTGAAAATGAAAAAAGAAAAAAAGTCATCCAAGTTACTTTATTAAAGAAAGGTCACTGTCTACAATACTACACTCTACTTTGAAAAGTTTGAAAGCCACAGTTCTTACTTTATGTAAAGATTCAATCCACCATACTCGATCTCAATTTCAGTATTCTGCATTGTGCAAGGATGTAAATGACAATATACAAAGTTACACCTCGTCTTATCAATTATATTACAAATAATTATGATCTTGATCATTTTTTATCATGAGAAGAAAGAAATATCAAGGTTTCAATTAATATCTTAAGCTCAAAGAGTTTTTATCAATTAATGTAGTGTATGATATGATAAAATTTTGTTAAAAGAGTGGGAATAAGGGGAAATTTTTAAAAAATATGTTTGACAAATACTTTAAAATGCAAATTCTCATTTCTTAGAAAATTAGGATTCCATTAAATAAGATAATCTGAAATTCATCACTTGATCGTATAATTATTATATTTGTCAAAATCCAAATAGAAAGGCACGTGACCGGCACTAGAGTAACAACCCTAGTTGACCCTAAAAGTCAATACTAAAAGAATTATGTGGGATTCTCCGAAAATTTCGACATAATCTCTCCTAAAAACAGGACATATCACAAAATCTCAACTTGTCAAATACACAATTTATAAGTTTTAACAACAATCTTAGGTAATTTAAAAGCTGATAAAATAGGATCTAATAAATTTCAACATAAGTTTTTATTTGACTACAAATTATCAACATGAATTGCTTACAAAAAAACAACAATTAACTACAACAGAAACAATACTAATACAATAAATACGCTAACTAAGAACGCACAGAAACGAGATATTGTCTGCGAATAAATGGAGCAACTCTACGAATTCACTAACTTTAAACTACCACAATGAAAGTAATATAATAATAATGAAAGAAATACGCCCAAACACAAATTCAAACACAGGGTTCACCAATTATGAAACTTCTCTAATGAGCAAACGAAACTGAACCTGGAGGGGGAGAAATAAAAGGATGAGTCGTGAAACTCAGTGAGTAATAATACATATACTCAACAGGTTAGGACAATCATCAAGTAAAAACATTAGAAAGTCATCCTTTTGAACAAATCAAGATATTTGAAATAAAATCGCATTTGGGAACCTCATACACATCAAAGTCCATCATATAGTTCAATAATAGCATGGGAGCATCAATAGCACAGAGATGGGCCGGAAGGCCTTCAATCAGATCAGAATCACTATAAACGTGCAAAATAGAATTGAATCGTACGTATGAGTCAAACACGACGGGCTAATATCATTACTCCTGGAAGCTAGAGTCAAGGTGTACCAAAACTAGTGTTGCCCTACTGGCTGAGTGTATCAAAATCTCCCAGCACACAAATGTAAAACAAATCATGTAATCCCTTGTATTAGAATTTAGCAAAAAATACACTTATTAAAATCTTGAAATGCATATGAAGTAAAGACAATTATCTCAATACATAATTAAAAATCCATTGAAATTTGTAGGTCACAAACATGTCTTTTTTTTTAACACTTGGCTCCTCCATCTTTGATTATTTACAATGAGACCCACCAACTTTTATTTCTTGCAATTAGGAGCTTGCAGCAAAGGTTGGGTGTTATAATATTACCCTTAATTTTTTTTTAGTTAAGAACATATACATATATAGTAAAATTTAATATTTAAATGTTAAAATATAAAATTTCTAATTTTTTAGTATATTTATGATAATTTATAAGTTAAATTTTAATTAATTTAAAAATTTTCTAATAAAATGTATTTATGTCTTTGAATAATTTTATATTTCCTTTGTTACTTTTATTTCAATGTACCAAATATAATGATAAAATAGAAATCTTCATCCTATCAGTATTTATCAAATATACTTATAAATATTTTATTTTGTTTTATTTTATTTTTATTTCTATTTAATCAAAAAATATTCTATAATTCGTTTGTCAACTAAGAGATTTGTCAACTAAGAGTATCTGTTCCATTACATGTCAACCAAACACATGTAATGGCAGATGAAATTTATTTTCTTAGCTTATATCAACCTACGGAACACGTCCCTAAGAGATATTCTTGAACCGTTCTTTCAAATTTCAGATTTTTAAATTATTTAATTCATGGTAAAAAAGTTAAAAATTTTAAATAAACCAAAAGAACGAGTTTTTAATAAGTTGATTTACTTTTTTTAATATTTAAAGAATTCAAATTATAAAAAATTATCAACAACATTTTAACTTTTTATACTTAGCGCAGAAATATTTTAGAACTAATAAACAGAGAAGTTTGGAACTTCGGAGAAACCAAACAAACAATTCCTTAACCACATCGTCATTTGCGATCTTGCTGGGCCTTGGGGGTTAGCACGCGCACGGCACATAGTAAAATAAATCCGCTGAGCTTTTTTAAAATGTGGCCGGACAAATTTCCCTTTTTAAATCAAATAGTTACTTTCCCCGACCACATCAAAAATAATCTTTTTAAAATCTACAATTATGACCCCGAGAGACAGAGAGATTGCAATGTCATCCAACTTTTGCCTTTTATGCTTGACATCATTAATGACCGGAGACGATACCTCCACCCTCCACTTGCCGCCACCTCCTCCAATTTACATCATTCCTCCCATCACTTGCTACTTTATTCATTTCCCCAACACATTGGAGATGATATATTACAATATGGTCCTCCGTAAATTCGATTTCAATTTGCTTGTCCAACCTTCAACTTTTGCAATCTAGTCACTAATTTTTTCATTCTTAACATGTCATTCTTATGCTCACCGATGGATCAAAATTAGTATTTATATTACTACAATTTTACCTATCATGTTTAATTTTTTACCTTAGCATTTTCACCACTTTGAACTTAACTATCTTTTCATAATAATTAACCACCTTCACGTTTCGACGTTACCACCACTACTTATTTTTCACTTTTCATACAAAAATTTACCACTTTGACAAATCTATTCATCTTTAATCTTATTTTAGCCTTGACTATCTTTTTGTCTTTTTCTTTTATTTCTTATCCTCTATAATGATTCAATTAATTTTGTCGATGATAGTCTTCACCCCTCATCACACGAATCCAATCTCACCATGTTGATAATTGTATGTGCAAAGGTCGAAATAACTAAATCAAGGGCTTTAAACTCCTATAAAATATTAGTTTTTGACATATTTTTCTCATCACAAATCAAGAAAGTTGTGTAAGGCAATAGAGATTATACTTAGTATAAACCCATGGTTGGAGAGGCATGTATTTTTTTCTAGTGATTTAAAAAGATGCATGATAAGATTATAGTTAAGATTTTAATATCTTTTCTATTATCTTTTTTTTTTCGACATTTTTATGAATTGCATAAATAATTAGGTTAGTGCCATCCAGACTCGTACAATATTTTCGTCCTTTTGTCTTCAATTTTGACCGTGTAGGGATGGGATAGAGATGAAATTCCAACAATCAACAAATCAAGGAATTTGATAGAAAAGTTGATAATTTGGGGACCAAATTAAAATTTCCAATTTCTCAGGGGACCATCTGTGAAGTTTATCTAAAATAATAAATCCGAAAAGGTGATATCACGTTCTTCTACAACTTCAACCCCACTTTTAAAGCCACCCACACCTCCCGTTCCATGGTCCCCTTCTCTCTCCTGCCTTGTCTCTCTCTCTCTCTCTCTCTCCTCTCTCTCTCTCAAGTCCCTATGACCCACGCCACCGCCCCTTCCTCCACCACAACCACGGCCATCTCCGCCGCGGCTTCCTCTTCCAAGCGCCGAAAACTGTCTAGCCACCACCAACACCATCAACCTCTGCTCCCAGTCTACCCGATCACATAGCTCAAACTTGCCTCTCTGTCCTCCCTCCATCCCTCCTCTTCTACGTCAGCCGCTCCTGGCGTCGCCTCCTCTATTGCCCCTCCTTCCCTCCCTTCCTCTCTCTTTACGCCGTATTCTTCCCCACCCAAAACCAAACCGGCACCTCAATCGGACTCTTCTCCTTCGACCCGATTTCCTCCGCCTGGCACGCCTTCCCCCGCCGCCCGATCCGCCCCGTCGCCCCATCGTCCGCCACCCCGCTTCCTCGCCCGTAACCTCCCACTCCAGTCTCTCTCCGTCGCCGGAAAGCTCGTCATCCTTGCCGCCACCGCCGACCACTTCCTCCCGGCCTTCCCCCACCCCCTCGTCTTCGACCCGATTACTCGAAATGGACATTTGGTCCACGACTTCCCAACCCGCGAAGATGGTGCGCCACTGGCTCGTCGAATGGCATCGTTTATGTGGCCAGTGGGATTGGGTCTAACTACAACCAAGCCGTGGCCCGATCCGTAGAGAAATGGGCCGTACAATCGAACAGTAGGTGGAAATGGGAGAAGATGGGTGAATTAAGAGATGGGAGGTTAAGCAGAGATGCGATTGACGCTGTTCCGTGGAGAGGGAAACTGTGTATGGTGAATGTGAAGGGGGACGCAGCCAAAAACGGCGTTGTTTATGATATCGATAGGGATTCGTGGGAGGAGATGCCGGAGGGATGGTGGCAGGGTGGAGAGGACCAGCGGCGGCGATGGACGAGGAGACGATCTACGTTGTCAATGAGACGACGGGGACGTTGAGAAGGTATGACGCTGTTCTGGATTCGTGGGAGCTGGTGGTGGGGAGGAGCGGCTGAGAGGGGCGGAGCAGATGGCAGCTAGTAAAGGTAAGGTGTGCGTTGTCGCTAGCGCTGGGATTTTGGTGGTGGATGTGGCTGCGTCACCTCTAAAGTTTGGCAGGTGGACACGCCGGCGGGGTTCCAGGCTATCACCGTTCACGTCTTGCCCAGGATGAGCCAGCCAGACCTTTGAAGTAATTTTTCTTTAACTTCGTTTTCTTAATTGATGAATAATACCTTACTTCTTTTTTCCCTTTTTTGGGGACATTCCTGTAAACGGGAGTACATTTTTTCACTATCATTTTTTTAAAAATTTCTTTTTATTTGTTATTTATTTCAGGAGAATACTTGATAGTGTAATACTTAAAAAAAAAATAGAAAATGGAAATTATGTTAATATTTTTTCTTTTCTCTTTTTTTCTCTAATATATAGTATAAATTATGTGATACTTATCTGAATGAATCGGTGTATCAATATCAATATCTGATATTAATTCAATAAATACTGTGTTCAATTTTAAATATCATCCTCAAATAATGAGATATGAATCGGTTAACTCTGTGATTAGTACCTTTCTTTTATAATCTGCCTCAAAATATAATTATATTACAAGCTCTTGTCGAAATTAAGCTACAAAATCTAAATTTTAATTAGTCAAAAATAGTAAATAGGCCAAAAACATGATAATTAAAAGAAGAGATTGATTTTCTTGAGCTAGCTTGAGGCATCTACCATCCGCGTGTAGAAAATCATGCCTTGGCATTTTCTTGGGCAACTAAGAACTGAAAAGGATGTCTATGAAAGAGAGAATTTTTTTTCCATCAATATGAATATTCCCATTTTCTTTCGATTTTAAAGAAAATGAAATTGTTGTATTGTTCCTTTTAGCATATCAAAATTAATTACAACATTTAGTTATAAGAAGTATTTTTAAGGTTTTTATTTATTATTTCGTTTTTATAATTAAAATTGTCAGATTAATACCCATAATCTTAAATTTTAAAATGATTTTTTTTTTAAAAAAGTTGTTCTTTTTAATTGTTGTATTTGAATAAATAAAGTCAAAGAAAATTAATCTACTTAATGCGGGTTCAATTCGTTAAGATGGAAAAATGAACTTTTTTATATGACGAACCTTCTGGAACTCAATTCATAATTGGGGATTAAGTCGTTTTGCTTTATATATTAAAAATAAAAAAATAATAAGTGTGGATGCCCATTCTCCATGCATCACAATCTATTTGCCCGCTTACTCAAGTAACAGTTTATCTTGATCAAAATATAGTCTGTATTCTAAACGTGTGATTCACAAATGCACTATCGAGTGACAACATTAAATTTCCACCGATTCAGAGCACCTACTATCATCTTTTCTTTGGATCAAATGTATACTTGTGTAAGTTAATACACACATGAATAGGAATCGTCAATACACATTGTAGAAAGAAAGAGTTTAAAATTTCTGAAAAAATACGTACAAATACATGGTAAAAATACAATTCTACCCATTAATAGATTGTGTTGTGCTTGTTGGACTTATTCCATGTATTTAAATAGACTCGATCATTTGATATTATCAAATCTTGCAAATATTTATTAAATAAATACAACAAGCGGTTTGTTCTAGTTTGTTCTAGTCACCTTCAATGACTCGCCATCTGTAACCTCCGCTTCTTCCCTTTGTCTACATGTCAAATCGAGGATGAAGAAGTGGAGCAAAGTCAAAGACGAAGATGGACCCGTGCACTGGCGGGCGGCGTCTTCTGTTTCGCAGGCTTCGAGTCTTCCGCTTATGGGCTTCATTATGGGTGGCGAAAACTACGCTACGGTTGTACTATTTCCATCTTTCTCCTTCTTTCTGTGATTTCCTTTGCCTCTGCATCTTTTCGCCGATGAACAAGACTCCCCTTTGTGATTCACACGCCTATGACTCCGTCGCCCATGATCTTTGACTCCAGTTGTGGCTGCAACTCCCCCTTTTGCATGGGTTCAACTTCTGTTCTTCATGTTTATTTAAAAAATATATACATACATAGAAAGAAGTCGGTTTGAGAAAATCAACCTCAAATTGACCCTAAATTTAAAAAAATGTTAAAATGGCTCTTTAATATTAATAATCTTTATTCATTTGGATCAAAATCGTTGAAATAATAATGTTATAAATAGGGTGTAAATATCAAAAATTTTGATTTAGTTTTTGATAATTTAGTTTAATTTTTAGCTTTTTTTAATTTTAATACTTCAAAAATCAAACCAAAATAATTTAATTATAAACCAAATCAAACCAAAATTAAAATTTCAATTTGCTTTGATTTAATTTTAAGTTTGATTTTTTATTTTTTAAAAATAAAAAAATAAATATTTATTTAAATTTTTATGATCAAATATGTATGTATATATACATATATGTATGTGTGTGTATATTATATACACATATTATAATACACGCGCACGCGCGCACAGACACACACATACAAAACATATATATAGGTATGTAAACGGGTCGAATTCGGATCAAATTAAGCTGATCCGAATCCGAATCCGATTATCAATATATATATCCGAATCCGATCCGAAATTTTATAGGATTTCTACTTGTTATTACCGAATCCGAATTTGATAAAAATCCGAAATCCGAAAAAAAAATCCGATCCGAATAACTGTTAAAATAATTAAAATCAAATAATCAATAAATAAATTAATATGTAAAATTAAATAAATTATTATATATGAATGATAAAAATTCATGTAAGATTTATGTTTAATTATTTTTATTATTATTAAAATATAATAAAATTAAAAAAATAAATTAGTTATTTATGAATGATAAAGAAGAACTTTTGTTATATAATATATTATAAAAATGATGATAAGGATTCCAATGTTTTATAAAACTATCAAGTTTATTTGTATTATTGTTAGAAATTAGAAAATTTTATAATCAATTTATTCCAGTGTTTCATGAGAATTCAAAAGTAATTAATTATTAAAATAATACCTATTAGAAAAACTAAAATTATGAAAATAAAAGAATATTATAAAATAGTTTAGAAAAAATATACATTATTCTATTAAATAAAATATCTCACAAATACAAATAGTATATTATTAATTATAATGTCATATATATTATATCATATATAAAAATATTTATTAATATATATAATTATTAAATTAAATAAAATTTATTATTAAATTATTCGGATTCGGATTTTTTAACGGATCGGATTGCTTAATTCCATATCCGGTCTACTTATTTCGGATTACGGATATTTATAATCAGATTTAATCTATCGGACATTTTAATCGGTTAAACGGCCTAAATTCGATCGGATTCGGATCGAATTCAGATTAAAATCCAACCCATTGACAGCCCTACATATATACGTATATATTTATATATATATATATAATATAATTCATATAAATATAAAAAATATATATATGTGGGTGCACACGCACACATAGATATAAATATATACATATATGTATAAATACGTAAATATATACATTTATATATTTATATATGTATATAAACATATGTTTGTGTGCGCGTACGCACATGGAAATGTGTGCACGTGCACACATAAGTATATATAGATACATATAAAATATATATGTAAATATATGTGTGTGTATATATATTAATATTTTTTATATAATAAAAAATACTTTCAAAATTTTGGTTTATATTTAAAATTATTTGATTCGATTTTTAACTAAACCAGATAATAATTTTGGATTATTTTTTAAATCAAATTAAATAAAATTACATTTAAAAAAATTAAATTAAATTTAAAATTTTAATTTAATTTAATTAATTAATTTAATTTTACATATCCGTGACTATGAACGAAAAATTTAGTGCATGGGAAAGTATCAACATGCCATCTAGCTGTGTCAATCTGTTGTTGATTATTATCATGTTCACCTTTTAAGACTGTTAGAAGAGAGAGAGAGAGAGAGAGAGAGAGAGAGAGAGAGAGAGAGAGGGAGGGAGGAGAGAGAGAGAGAAGAAGATCAAAGCAGCCCAAAAAGAGCAACCAATTATGTTGACCCAAAGGACAAAAAAAAAAAATCCTGTAAAAGGCGAAGTAAATTGCGGCTTCATCTGCGGTCACAAATTGAAAGTCAAATTAACCACAAACTTTCTAAATGTTTGAAGGCCGACTAACCGGTTCATGAACTGAAGCAAAGCCAAGTGGGTCCTGTTTGAAGCTAGGGCAGCACCACTGGGTGGGACAGCACCATTGGGTGGTCATTAGCCTTGCCCTATTTCTACCCTACTCCCTTAAAAGGCGAAAGACTCTGACACCATAAATGAGACTGACAGCAAGTTGTCGTCCCGCTGAAACTGCATCCTATTCGAGCATAATTTAAATGCATTTGAGATTATTTGACACCCTTCTCAACCACACAATACCATGCTTTCTCGTATGTGAGATAAGTTATGCAGTTCAGTACCTACATACATGTGTGAATTTAACTTCACTAAGAAAAAAATTTCACCGAGAGAGAAAGATACTAATCTCGAAAGTAATATTAAATAAACTAATTGATACTTAAGTTTTTTAATTATTTTTGGAGGAGAGAGTTTCTAAATTTTAAACATTAATTATCTTATACGTTAGAATTAGAACTTTATTTGAAACTCTTTTTTAAAAAATCTAAAATCTTAAATTTGGAGCTCTTTTTAAAATAAAAAAATCTCAAAGTTCTGGGTGGTTAATATACCTTTAGTGCTCATAAGTACATGTTCAACAACAAACCAACACAAAAATTGATAAGATTAATTTGACACGTTTAAAAATCACTTTATTAAGAAGACTAATAGTCAACACAAAACGATCGCAGAGATTGATAAGATTAGTTTGGCACGTGCAAATTCAAATTTTTTTTTTTTTTTTTGAGAAAACTGATAGTCAACCCTATTAATTCTTAGGACATTAAGAAAAGGAGTTCACATTGCTCCAATGGGCCGCAAATTCCACCCTTAGAGCTGTGTGATGCACATTTC